TTAATCTTTTTACTACCCTAATTCCCACACATCATGTTTTCACTGACGGTCATGGATTTTGCATGCTCACAAAGAATCTCCTTCTACTTCAATGGAGAAAGAAACACTACATGTTCATCTTCCTCAGTACGGTGTTCAACTCAGACTTCCCCCACAATCACACAACACAGACTGCATACTTGTGCACATCTATCTACCCTGCATATTTGCTAATGTTGCTGAGATTGTAATTAATGTTTTCTATTACGTATATTGTAAGGGAGATTAGTATGTTTCCTTATCTGTTGGAGGTAAAAGATGTGAAGACTATAAGTGGAAAATGTATTGTGTGGGTGTTAGGTCATGGTGAAGAGATGTCCCATAAATTGACATTTCCTTGCTTTTAAGAACATAAGAATGGCCATACTGGGTCAGACCAAAGCTCCATCCAACCCAGTATCCTGTCCTCCGACAGCGGTCAATGCTAGGTGCCCCAGAGGGAATGAACAGAACAGGTAATCATCAAGTGATCCATCCCCTGTCACCCATTGCCAGCTTGTGGCAAACAGAGGCCAGGGACACCATCCCAGCCCATCCTGGCTAATAGCCATTGATGGACCTATCCTCCATGAATTTATCTAGTTCTTTTTTGAACCCTGTTATGGTCTTGGCCTTCACAACATCCTCTGGCAAAGAGTTCCACAGGTTGACTGTTTGTTGTGTGAAGAAATACTTCTTTTTGTTTGTTTTAAACCTGCTGCCTATTAATTTCATTTGGGGATTCCTAGTTTTTGTGTTGTAAGAAGGAGTAAATAACACTTCCTTATTTACTTCCTCCACACCAGTCATGATATTATAGACCTCTATCATATCCCCCCTTAGTTGTTTCTTTTCCAAGATGAAAAGTCCCAATTTTATTAATCTCCCTTCATGTGGAAGCTGTTCCATATCCCAAATAATTTTGTTGCCCTTTTCTGAACCCTTTTCAATTCCAATACAACTTTTTGAGATGGGGCGACCACATCTGCATGCAGTATTCAAGATGTGGGCGTACCATGGATTTATAGAGGCAATATGATAGATATATGCTGTCTTATTATCTATCCCTTTCTTAATGATTCCCAATATTCTGTTCGCTTTTTTGACTGTCACTGCACATTGAATGGATGTTTTCAATGAACTATCCACAATGACTCCAAGAGCTCTTTCTTGAGTGGTAACAGCTAATTTAGACCCCATCATTTTATATGTATAGTTGGGATTATGTTTTCCAATGTGCATTACTTTGCATTTATCAACATTGAATTTCATCTGCCATTTTGTTGCCCAGTCACCCAGTTTTGAGAGATCCTTTTGTAGCTCTTCGCAGTCTGCCTGGGACTTAACTATATTGAGTTGTTTTGTATCATCATCTGCAAATTTTGCCACCTCACTTTATACCCCCTTTTCCAGATGATTCATGAATATTTGAATAGAACTGGTCCCCATACAGACCCATGGAGGACACCACTATTTACCTCTCTTCACTCTGAAAACTGACTATTTATTCCTACCCTTTGTTTCCTAACTTTTAGCCAGTTGCCAATCCACGAGAGGAGGTTTTTCATTGGGTAGCATTCCGGCCACCCCGCCCCACCCCTTTTTTTTAATTTTCTTTTCTTTTCTTGGGCAGTTGCACTCTCGGAGGTTGGGGCAGCAAAAAACCTAGAGCCAGCCCTGGTAGGATGTCACACTTACTCAACCTATAGTATTTATTGATATAAGAATTAGCTCAGTGAAAACCAGTGCAGTCAACAAACCCAACCAAACAACATGTCAGGGTGCATAAGGAAAATACTGAAAATGTTATAATGTCATTGTATAAATCAATTTATTTATATGCTTACCCTATCTCAAAAGGATATAGCAGATATAGAAGGCATTCAGAGACAGATGACAAAACCTAAGGCATGGAAAAACTTCCATATGAAAAGAGATTGGACAGATTGGAACTGGTTAACTTACTTAGGAGTCCAAGTCAGAGATTTAGGACAGAGTTATAGAGAATAATGAATAATACAGAGAAGATCAGCTGAGTACTTCAATTTACACCCTTAAAATACTGTACAAAAAACAAGAAGGAATTCCATGCAATTAAAAAGGAAGCAAATTTAAAACTGATAAAAGAAAACACTGTTGTCACATTGCATAATTAATCAGTGGAACTTGCTACCACAAGATATCACTGAGGCCAAAAACCTGTAGGATTAAAGAGTATAGGACGTTTATATGGATAAAGAGAACATCCACAGTTACATTAGATGCTAAAAAAACAAAAGGAATATAAACCCTTGTATTTCAGGGAATAGGCCAACCTCTGGCGGGCATCAGGAAAAAACTTCCCCTAGGAGCAAGTTGTTCCATAATTGTCCATTATTGGAGTTTCTTTCCTCAGAAGCATCTAGTACTGACCACTGTCAGAGACAGGATTTTTGACCATTGGTATAATTCATTCTAGCAATTCCTGTTACTATCAGTGCAGGCATTACAGGTTTAAAAATCAAATGCATTATTAGTAGAGTGATGCAGAGGCAAAAAGATACTTTATGAAAGTATGAATACGCCATGGCTTATGCAAATTTGTCTTTCTCCTAAATGAACTTCAATAAATGCACCATTAAATCTAGAAGGGATGCAAACAAACCAATAATGAACAGTGTGACATTTTCTGCCCTTTCTAAATTCTGACAAACTGGAAAACAAATAAATTCTAAGGAGTCTTGGTACAATGAACATCTGTGGCCTGGTTGTTTAACATAAGTTACTTAGAACTGCCCTTTGCATAAGGATATATATGAGCTATTACTTGAAGGGTCAAATGTCACAGGATCACATGTCTTAGAGTTTATATTACCTTGCTGCTGTTACAGAGAATGCTTTGAAAACTAAATGCAGACACTTTCACTAAGAAATAAAACATTATTGACAGAGTCACAAAATAGGGTCCATTAATATGGAGATACCATACACTCATTATTTCAGGGAATACTTACTACAGTTGTGTAATTTTGAATCCTAGGATACAACTAAGTAAATAATTTCCTTGTGGATTGTTTTCACACTATTTAAATCCATGACATTTCTTTGCTTTTAATTTACAATATTAATAAAATTTATCACTCACAAAATAATTTAATTATATGTGCATTGTAATCTGATATTCAGCTGAGATTTTTTTATTCTGTAGAAAAAAGATTATGAAAAATATCAGAGATATGTGATCTCAAGAACTGTAATGCAACTGAAATACAGTATAATTAAACTTTCAAGGCATACTGCAGGGTCCATTTGTTTCCCCTGGCCTTTGAGAAGAGTTAGAGGAGACTGAAGCACTAGGCAATATGTTGGGATATAGTTTATACTTAGAGCTTCTGCCTGGTAGAAAGGAAGAACTGATTAACATTACAAAATCAATTACAAATGTCATTTAATTGATAGGAGACACAGAACCTGTGTAAGGGCATATTTTAACTCAAAAGAATAAATATTTGAAGTTATGGATTCAAAACAGATTAAAATTAATATTACTGCATCACTAAAACCATGTGGTTAAACAGTTTAAGCAAGAGGCCTTATCCTGAAACTCTTTATTTAGGTGGGTAGTCGTTACTCTCACATTCATCCTAGTTACTTTCACGGAAGTACGTTGAGAGTAAAGATTACTTGCATGAATATTTGTTAGCAGAACTGGACCCAGGATGATTTATAAATTATTGCCAACATGAAAGGGAATAGGTCCAAGGTCCAAGACCATAATTATTGCCTCAGAGACACAGGGTCTATCAGATCTGTTGCCGAACCCAACCCAGAGTTAGAGACAATGATGGTTAGCAAGGCAGACATTTGATTAGACATTTGTAATCATTTGGATATTTTAATATCAAAACATATTCAGAGCCTTAATTTATGTTTCCCTATAGGTGCTTCTTCTGGATCCGGCTACCTCAATCTAGCCAATTTATTTATGAAAGCCTTTATTACAATTTTATATTTAATACATAAAATACATGTATCCTCTCTTAAAAAGCCACAGAGGGGAACTGCAAAAATCAGATGCCGGACAGAGAAGATCTTTAAAGGTTGGACTGCATTGGAAACTTGAAGACTCAATTTCTCAAAAACAGACCTTTGCACACACCGTTATGGGCCTCACTGAATGAACATTTGCGTGGGTAGATTACAACCTTACATGTCATGCAAATTGGGTTGCTAGATATATGAAGAATATTTGCACATGATTGCACATGGCCGACTGGACACATAAAAGTAAGACCAAACAGAATTCCTCTTCATCACTGGCCATTAATGCTGGTTACTGCAAATGGTGATTATTTGGCCTTGAGCTTTCGGGCCTGGGTTTACTTTCCCCATTGTGAACTGGCTAGTATTGATTTGATTTGACTCAGATGGAAGAAACAAAACAGCTTTTGTTTAATAAACCCAGCCCTGCCAACTCTCACTTCTTCCAAGGGACACTTATTTTTTCTGAAGGGTTTTTAAAATCAACTTTAAAAAAGTCTTCTCTTCTTTTGAGGGAGTATGTTGTGTGTTTTTTTCAGTGACATTTATCAAATTAACGGTAGAGTTCTTGTTTGTTTTACACCGCCCCGGTTTGGGAGCCCTGTAATCCAGGTCAAATTCAAGAGATGGAAGATGGAGCCAGCCAACTTGTCCGGCAAGTTTCAATCAAGCCATCAACTTTCTGTGCCTTGAACTAGAAGCCCTGCCCGGGAGTGAAGTCCCAGTTCTCCCGGGAGAGGTTTTCTCCCCAGGGCTCAGGGAGAAAAGCTTTGTTCTGCAACAGGCACTTCACGTTCACCCCCTTCCCCAGGATCCGGGTTAATTGATACCAAGAGTCCATAGTCCCAGCAAAATGTCTCCTCGCCTCTCCCAGCGAGCGGCAGCCACCGAGCCGGGCAGTGTGGTGAGAAAGTTGCCGATTGCAAAGGGCAGAGCGGGGCTGCAGCGCGCTGCTCTCTTACCTTGTGCCTGAACTCCCTGGCTACCTTCCGCTCCATGACAATGGGAGGCCCCGAGGCTGCGGCTTTCCTCGGGCTTGTTTCCTGCTCACGGGCAGCTGCTCCGGCGGCTCCGCCTGGTCCCCGGCAGAGAGGCGAGGGGTGCAGAGCCCAGGCCGTGCGCTAGAGGGAGCGGCGCGGCTCTGCTTGAAGGGCTGGGTGCGGCGCCAGGGCACCTGCAGCTCAGCAGGGTGCTCCCCACTTTCAGTCCCCTCTCCACCGCCAGTTCCTCCTGGCTCGCCTCCGCTTCTATTTCGTCTCCCTCCTCTCCTGCAGGTAACCACTGACACACTCAAGAATCAGAGCGAAGGAGCAGAGATAGCCCCGACAAACACATAGCTGCTGAAGCTCAGCTCAGCTCCCCTCCTCCCCTTTTAACCCATTTTTGTAACTCTTTTCCTTTTCCCAGGCTAGGGGAGTCACCGACTCTACTTGCTCCCTTGCAGCTGCTTGTTGCAAATTGGTCACTGCCCTATGGTCAGCACCAATAATTTAACAAAACACGAATCGGGCTCCCAAAACCGTGATATTGACTTACAAATCATGAGTTTTCTTTAAAAAGAAAAAAAAACATTTTGAAAGGGGCTTTTTTTGGGGGGGGGGAAGCTGGTGGGAAAGGGGTGTGGGGATTTGAACCTTTAGGGTACACTCAGCCAGATTTTCAAGCATTTCTCTGCATCCATGACAGCATTGCCAACTCTCAGGATTTGATCACAAGTCTTGTAATATTTGGTGTTTTTCTTAAAGCCCTAGGTGAATACTCAAGACGTTTCAGCTTTCATAAAAAACAAGAAGTTTTTAGCCTTTGTACTTATAAAGAAAAACTTGAATACCTGAAGCTCAAACGCTCCAGCACCAGAAGGCAAATAAAAGAGAACCCAAAGTTTTTTGTTTGTTTCTTAGGGCTGCATTGATTCATGATTTCTGAATGCTTGGGGTTGTCAGTATTACCACAAGAATAAAGATTTTTTTTAATGGATGTTGAGAGTGTCTTATAAGCCCATCTTTCCTGGGGCTGAGGCTTTAATAAAACCAACAAATATTGCCAGACTAGTGATAAAAATGACTAGAGTTGGCAACACTGATAATTCTCTTGGGTGAGGCTGAGGGCATGAAGAATCAAGTGAGAGTTTATTGAACCAAAACCCTTGGCAATTTCCCGTTTGAGTTTTAAATCGTGGCGTTCTTGGTATGCCGCTCTTTGACCACACCAGAGTGAAGAGGATCAGCACCTTGCACAATCTGGTTGACAGTTTGTAAAGCACGGGTGACATCAGCAATATTATTTATAAATGCAAAATATTTGGGGCCATAAAATAACTTTTCATCTGAAAAGAGCAAGTCATAAACACTATGGCGTAATTCAAATGACTTTTCTTGCATCCTATCAATACAAATCAGATGCAAAGTTATGACAAACTACAAAAACAAGTCTGCCAAAATAAGGGAATTTAGATACGTTTGTTTGCTATTTTTCAGTCCCTCCTTTAGTACCTAATTATTGCAGCTGACATGGGCCTGATCTTAATTATGAGAGCAATCCTTATTCAGATGAGCAGTCCCCCGAAAACAGTGGTTACCCATGTGAGTAAAGTTACATACATGCTTAAATGTGTATAGGACTGGGGCCTAGAGCTTCTGAAAAGAAAAGCAAGATTGGGCCCATGGTCAGGAGCCCAATTTGAGGCTCATTGAAGTCAATAGCAAGTTTTCCATTGATTTCAGCAGGCTTTGGATCAGGCCCCAGATGCAATTCCTTAAAACAATGGGAAGAATTGAGGCAGATATGATAGCAGCCTCACCTCTGCAGCCTTTGCTTTCAACCTGGTCCCACTTTAAAAAAACATTTTTTATGGTTTTTCAGCAATACACATTAATTTACTTAATAAATATAACCTAATAATATGCATTTCTATAAAACAATGTTACAGGGTAGTTACATTATAATAAATGTTAGCCACCAGGACAGCAGGGGTGGTGGTGTGGGATTCTGATTGGGGCACAACAGCAATGCAAATAAATAAAAGCTCAACTTAGATGGTCTCCAAAATACATTTTGTTAAAAATAAACTGTATGCTTATACATTATGAAATGTGCTGTATGCATATAAATTGTGCAATTATAATGTATATGTACTAACAGGAATAAATTGCAGGCCAAGGGAAGACTAGGGTCAAAATTCTGGTCCCCACTGCGCTCAATTTGCATTATTTTGGAAGGACAAATGGAGTTGGAAACTGACCGCATGTCAGAGAGTTGGCTCCTGTACCACCTCCTCTGCATCCAGTGTGTGTATGTAGCTGGCAGATAATTTATTGGAGATGTTAAAAGTTGTCTGAGTTTAAACCTGACTGGGGAAAAACCTGTAACTGGCTCCCTCTCTTCTGCCTCACTACACCAGCAAAACACAGGCACTGCAGAGGATGTGGATCTAGGACTCTTACTAATTATATTTAAGAGGACAAGAATGACAGATTCAATATATCCACAGATCTTTAGTAGAGACACACAGTATTTTCCTGAAACATAGACAAGAGCCTGACCCTAATGAAAGCCAACACACAGCTGAATGAAGAGTAAATGCACACAAAGAGTTGACAAAATATTTGATGCAGTTTATATTATAGATGGAACTGGTGGCACTGCTTATAGTCAAAGTTGCCTTACACTTTCCACTATAAGACCCTGTTTTCAGTTGCTTATAAATTTACCAAACTTGGACAATTGATGCTGTAATTTTCAGTGCCTCAAGCTGATTTTTTAAGTTTCAGATAAAACAATTCAGCTGTTTCCAAAAATGAGATTAGTAGAAAATATGCTGTTTAGTCCAAGTTAAAAAAAATCTTTACAACTGTTTGAAATGCTCCAGCACCTCCATGCTTTGGAGCAAGGACTTTACATTAAGCAAGAAAGGTTGCACCTTGTACTGTTCCCATGAAAAGTCACCCAAATTAGGGCAAGTTATAAGCTTTTGAAAACCTCAGTTCTCACATGCTCATTAGAGCCTTTGGGAGTTTGATGGCTAAATCCTGTGAAGATTCTCCTTGTACTGAGCATGCACCATCTCACAGCAGTAGGGGCTGAGAAGAACTTCCCTGCAATTACTTCTCTCAGCTAGTGGGAGCTGATAGGCTGCTCTCAGTCCTATGCCCAGTACCACATCTGTCTTGTGCCGTGCTGGCACCCAGCCAATGTGGAGAAGAAAGCTGCCTGAATTGAATGCAGAAGGGACAAGAAGTGGACCTGGTGGAGGGAGTAGATGAGACAGAAGTTGGAGTGGAGAGACTGGAACAGGGATTTCATGAGTGGGTGGGGCTGGGTGGAAGAGCCTGGGAGCCAGGGGTGAGGATAAACAGAGACCAGATTGGGAGCTACTGAGACCAGACAAGGAGCTGGGCAGGGGAGACTAGGACTGGAAGCCCTAGAGGACTGAGATAAGACAAGAAGTTGGAGGTGCAGCAGGGTAGCCTGGGTTAAGGAACCTGGGAGACTGGGGTGAAAAGTTTGGTGTAAGGCTGAGATTGGATGAGGATCCTGGAGAGGGAGTCTGGCAGGCAAAGTGAGAGGAAGATTGGGATAGACCTGGAGCCTGAAGAGAGAGTTTAAGACAGGAATTTGGAGCATGGGGAGGAGAAGGAAGAGGACTAGGACAGGGACAGGGTTGGGAAGCACAGGTGTTGAAGGGCCTGTAAGCACTAGAGAATACTCCCTGACAAAACCTGGGGTGAAACAAAACAAACAAAAAAATGCACATCCTTAACTTTATTGCAGGTTGTATCTTCATTAGTCCTAGAAAGTAAGATAAGTGAGTAAGATCCTTTATTGGACCAACTTCTCTGGAGGAACCGGGTGGAAGGTACAAGTTTTTGAGCTATACGGGGATCCCAATTGCTTGCTTCATTTGAAGTGACTGCCCCCAATTTGTCTTGTCCCTTCTCCTTAACAATCTGTCCCGACTTGTATTTAGCTCAGGCTTCCTTCTCCAAACATGAAGAAAGGCTCTATGTAGCTCAAAATTTGTACCTTCCACCAACAGAAGTTGGTTCAATAAAAGATTTTAACTCACCCACCTTGTCTCTCTCATACTTAACTTTAGTCACATGAGCAGGCCCAGTGCCTTCAATGAGACTACTCATGTATGCAGGACCAGGGTATTAACATGGGATTGTGCCAGATAAATGATTTTAGTGGGAATTAGATGCTTAACCAGCTTAGGCACCTTTATACATCCCACTAGGTGCCACTGTGCATCTTTGGGTGCCTAAATACTTTTGAAAAGCTACTCCCAAGTAAACTGATAGCATGCATTGCAACACACTGGCAAGTAGCTTCTAAGTAGAGAAGTGATTAATATGGTATTTCAGTACAAAAACTTTCATGCCAGACATTTTCATTGCAGAATGCAGAAATAGATATGCAATATATTTTAATTCCATCTCATTCAAATGTGACACTGTCCACAAAGTAATAGTCAATTAAAAGTGAAATAATTATGATAGTATTTTTAAACACTGTATATCTGAGACCACAAGGCCTCATTTCAATCTTGCTTGCACCAGTCTCTCCCCTGCCCCCCTCCCACCAATCAGCATAGCTCCATTATCTAATTGGGAACAGAATCAGGCCAGTGTGTCCTAACCCAAATCTGCTTCAGTCCTCTCAGGCTGATCTCGTCTTGGGTAATTTCCCTTGCTAGTATCATTTAGAGTAGCTGTTCTCAAAGTGTGGGTTGCCACCCCATTTTAAGGGGGTTTCCAGGGCTGGCGTTAAACTGGCTGGGCCCCGGACCAAAGCCCGAGCCGCACTGCCCTGCGCTGAAGCCTAAGCCCCACTGCCCAGGGCTTAGGCTTCGGCTTCAGCCCTGGATGGCGGGGCTTAGGTTACAGGCCCCCCCACCCAGAGATGAAGCCCTTGGGCTTAGGCTTTGGCCCTACTGCCCGGAGCAGCAGGGCTCAAGTAGGCTCAGGCTTTGGTCCCTCCTCTTGGGGTCACATAGTAATTTTTGTTGTCAGAAGGGGGTCATGGTGCAATGAAGTTTGCGAAACCCAGATTTAGGGATTATTCTCTTCTCACTTACACTGGTACTACAACAGGGTAACTCCAATAACTTTAACAGAGTAGGGTTACCATATGTCCGTATTTTCCCGGACATTTTTAGATATTTAAAAATTCCTCCCGGACGGCAATTTAAGGTCTAAAAAGCCAGACATGTCTGGGAAAATACGGACGTATGGTAACCCTGTAACAGAGCTACTCCTGATTTTGTATTTACATGTGTCAGAGAACAAACCTTATAGCCTACTTG